TACGATCTTCGGAAGAGGAGTAATTTGAAGGATGTTATTAACTTTTAAAATTAAAATGAATTATAAGGAATTAAGACGAGAACATCAACTAATTTATAAGTTTTTGAACATTTTAAAAAAATATTGTTTAAAGAAATTTCTTCATTTTGATCCTTATGATATATATTTTTTTTTTTCAGTTTCTATGACATGACATGTGAAGTAGAATTTGATTATAAATGAATGACATGTGATTTCTGTTAAACGTCCATCCAAGTAGAAATCAACATGAATGCTTCACACTTTCGAACAAAATTTTAAAACTCAGCTCAACCTGAGCGATTCAACTATCCCTAACTTTATACGTATTGAAGGAGTCGCTCAACTAAAATGATCAAAATTTGAAATTAGTGGAACTCTATCCTGACTTCTCCATTTTATTGTAGCATCCTATAAAACTAGGCTATGCAAAAATAAGATGCATGTAATATAAGATACAAATATATTATATATAAGTACATGTTATTATTTCTATTTAAATATATATGAATTTATGCAGTTGAATTAGTAATTCATCATTCCAAGCTTTAATTAAGTATCTTTACCGAATTGATGAGCTATATGAGTCTTAAAATAGTGGTTGCTGCAGAGAGTAATTTAGGAATTAAACGATCAAATGTAGTACCGATAAATAATGTATATTATGGAACCGCTGATCTAAACGAGTGGGTGTTGTATGTTAGAGGTTAACAACGTTTAGTAATTAGTAGCATAGGGCATCTTATTTTGGCATACCCTACCTCAAGTAGGTAACGTGTTGTAGTCGCGATTAAGGATTCCCTTCTAGTTAGCAGCAACACGCCATCCACTTCCCTATCCCTAACCTCATACAATGTCCTTTGCCTCTACAAGACAAGCTTACACTATACCTCATTAGTCATTCCGACACGATCTTTGCATTTATTTTTCCCCTTAAAACAATAATTTATATATTTAACTGAAAAGTCAAAAGAGTAAAAGCAACATGTAAGCCGAAGAAAAAAGATAAAGCGAAAGGATCATTTCAACGGCATCTCTCAAAGAGTTTATGCTTTGCCCTCACAAGTCACAAGTCACAAGAAAAGGTCATGGTCGTTGTTATGCATAATGTAGACACTGCCACGTCACACATTAGTAAGAAGTTTCCTCTCTCTCTTTCTTTTTTGTTTCTTGTCTTTCCAGCTAAGGAATTCGCTCAAACAAAAACCAGTCATGTATCATTGCCTGGATAAGCAGAGAAGACAGCCCCACAAAATTCACCATGAAAACTTCTCACTATTTCATTCTCCTTTTCATCCTATCATCACTCTCTCTATTCACCGCTAACTCTAAGCCTTGCAATCAAACAAGAAGAATCCTCCACCAGCCATTGTTCCCGGAGGTCTCTGCTCCGCCGCCCACCACCCCGCCGCCCGACATTCCCTCTTCTCCCGACATTCCCTTCTTTAATGAGTACCCAACTGGGCAGCCCCCGCCGGTGCAGAATCTCCCGCCGGCGACAACCTCCAGCGGCGTGATCGCCAACCCGACGGCCACGCAGCCGACGAAGCCGGCGAAGAAGGTGGCGATTGCGATCTCCGTGGGAATTGTGACGCTGGGAATGTTCTCTGCATTGGGATTCTTCTTATACAGGCACAGAACGCACCACCCCGCGGAGACTCAGAAACTCGTTTCTCGGACTCGGACTCGGACTCGGACTCAGAGAGTTCTAGAAGATTCTCCGCGGGCCCCACCACCTTCCACCTTCCTCTACATTGGGACCGTTGAGCCCGCTAGAACTTCGCTCAGCGAGCCCAACGGAGTAAACGCTAACACTTCCCCTTATCGGAAGCTTGATTCTATTAAGCTCAATTCCGACCACCGTTACCGTCCC